GTATACATACTTCTCTTGAAGAAAGTAATGGATTAAAGTAAACCCTTATGTATGGTGAATTTATTTTGATCCTGATTTTATATTCAGGACTGAAGTATAGACAGTTCTATATAGTATATTTAGGCTCAAATTGGACCTGGGGCCAGATTCACGAAAGCATTTACGCAAGCACTTACGAACGTGTACATCTTTCCTCAATCTTTGACGGCTTTAGTTACATTTATTAAACAGTTTACAAGCAAGAAAACTTGCCAATCAACTGATGTTATTGTTATTAACAGCCTCCTGGTGCTTCGGAGCTCATTAACTGTTTAATAATTGTAAACAAAGCCGCCAAAGATTGAGAAAAGATGGACAGGTTCGTAAGTGCTTGCGTAAGTACTTTCGTGAATCTGGTCGCTGGCTCGTATGTGCCAAAATGCCTTGTGCAGTTACCTTTATTCTTCTTAGGTTCTTATACACAATGAGCTTGCTACATCTCCCAGTTACATTTAATGGACATACATATACAGTATACATGAATTATACATCCGCTCAGTCCTTCAAGACATACACAACACTGACATACATTCGCGTATACTATGCATACACATTCGGCCTACCAACACCCTACTTTAGAGTACAGCTGAAAAAGATCATAGGAAGGTGGGGTTGGGCCTTCGACAAGCCGCCGGCTTCCTGTCCTCGTCGAGGCCACTAAGTGGCAGTGGCTCTCAGGTAAACTGAGGTCAACACCAACTTTATACCCCCCCCCAGGCACCCATAGGCCTTTCACACACACACACACACACACACACACACACACACACACACACACACACACACACACACACACACACACACACACACACACAGACCCCCCCACAGAACAGTTGAGAGGCGGGACCAAAGAGCCAAAGCTCAACCCCCGCAAGCACAAATAGGTGAGTACAGAGTTGACCAAAGAGCCAGAGCTCAACCCCCGCAAGCACAATTAGGTGAGAACACACACACACACACACACTTACACTTCCACCTATACAAGTTTTATACACACAGACACACTTTAGACCTGACAACAGGAATGTGGTTCAAGGTCTCAGAGGGAGACAGAGGGTGTTTGTGTGTGTGTGGGGGGGGGGTCCCCATTATCCCACCAGACCCCACCGGACCCCACCAGCGGGGGTCTCACAGACAGGCCGGTGTCGGGGGGGACTTGCAATTTCCTCTGTCCAGCTAGACGGGTTGTCTGAGACAGTTTGCTTCGAGTAATTTTCGCTCAGAAAATGTCGGGTTTACAGGTCAGCGTCACTCATCATGTACATGGTGACATAGCCGCATGTACAACATCCCACGACAAGGAAGAACACCCGCTGGGTTGT